GTGTGAGAGGGTGTGGGTGTGTCAGAGAGAGAGAGAGAGAGAGAGAGAGAGAGAGAGAGAGAGAGAGAGAGAGAGAGAGAGAACAAAAATGGAGGGAATATTCCAATTGAGGAGCAAGCATTCCTACCACAAAATGCTCTTCCTCAAGAACTGGCTTGCTCAGCTGTGCCATCATCTCTTCATCATTTAGCGAACCTGTCTCATCCTGTTCTGCATCTCCGTCGACGATGGCGGCTGTCTGGCATCGGTCTAAACACGTGTTGGGAAAGTTCCAGTTGTGGAGGTGGTTTCTTCGTGCGGTCACTACCTGGTAGTTAGCTGTAGTCCCATAGCTGCAGACCTTCCGTGCACCCTCCATTTAGTTCTTCACGTCATGATATGATATCATTTTAAACCTTGACTTCTCGCTTTCTTCGAGTCCCTTGACTCCCTTCTCCTACCTGATTTCGTGTTAACATCGCATGTTTTGAGTTGTGCCGTGCGGTCACATACCCCACTCTCTCACAACAGCTGTCTGTCAGTGCGAACGTGGCCTTTCGTTCACCCACCCATTTGCACCTATTTCTGCGCTTTGGTTACAGTATGAATGGCATGTGCCAAGTACTCGACATTCTTGGTCGTTACTCCCGCCATACTGCACACACGACACACATGAACACACACACACACACACACACCCACGCACCCACCAACACACACACACACACACACACACATGCACACATGATGTGCATCCTGAGGCAAAAGTTGCTGACTTCATTTCTGTGCATCACATAGTGTTTATCAGACGTTTTTTATTTTTTGAATTTTTTTCAGATTGTTTTTTTTTTTTTGGCTGGGCTCTTCACCGGTCTTCGCATGGCCGAGCCGCCCGGTCAAGCAAGGTGACCCGGGCATCCCGGCTGGTAGCCCAGCTGCCAGCTTATTAATTTATAGCTGCAACATTGTCAGTTCAAGAACATTACTTCACTTGCTGCCGCTTCAGTTCGAGAAACATTACTTCACACTTGCTGCCGCTTGTACTGCCATGTCGATACAAGTCCATGGAACATGACAAATTTTGTGTGTGATATTCAACACAAGCACCAGAAGGCCGCCTCCAATCTGACTGGCAAACACGCTTGTCAGCATGCGTAATTATTTCGTACTTACCCATCAAGCGTGTTTGCATGTCGCACTTTGTTTTTGACATGTTACAATCCCCTCAACAGTGACAGGCAAAGAATGGGAAAATAAGGAAAATCCTCGTCTGGCCATAATTGCAGTCACATGCATCCAGGTCTGGCCGTAATTGCAGTCAGATACATTCTAAAACATCCTACTGTGCGTATACCCTGAGAGGCAAAGAATGGCAAAAAAACAAAAAAATCAAAAATCATTCAAAACTCGGGATTCTTCTCGGGTGCCCTGGCACCCTACTTGAGCCCGGTTACATGCCCGAGTGCCCAGCTGGGCATGACCCCCCGGCCAGAGTTCCGGCCTCCATATCGGCCGCTGCTCTCCTTTTTGTGTTCGGCTTGTGTTTTCTTGTTTTAGCTCAGTGTTTCCATCTTTTTCGCAGGTTGAATGGTATGGCGATCGTGCCTACACGACGGTTTGTAGCCACTCTATTGGAGTACCAACCGAGCTTCCGCGCCCTTCGCGGTTACTTTGTCCTCTTCTTCTTCTTCTTCTTCTGTCTATCGATAGTGATGTCGGCCGCAATATGTTTCGTTGGGCGGGGATGTGAGAAGATGGGAGTAGGGGACGTGGCTATATACGATGGCACGACAAAGGGTTGGCCATCTGCGTTGCATCGTCCTTCGTGCAGGATTCTCTTCTCTTCTCTCTAAAAACCTCCTGATGATACTACTAGCGTGGGGTAGTTGCAATGCGTGGAGGTGTCGCCGCGCTGGGATGACGAAGTTGCTCAAATATGTGCTTCTACTTTGCGAAGGCTTCTTTGACAGAAGGAGAGACTTAAATAAGTTTTTTTTTTTTTTTTTTTTTTTTTTTTGGCTAATTGAAATACTTCATGGTGAGTTGGACTTTATTTTCAAAAGCGAGCCTAATGGATTGTGCGCCTGGATGAATCCTCCATTTCCATTCTTCTGATCATATTGCATATCGTTGACTGGTCGCTACCAAGTAAAAGGACGTGGGTTCAAACCCTGAGGATAGGGATACCCTCTTAAAACCATCACTCTCACTCTAGATATCTTTGTATCGAACAGTAATAGCGGTTCCCAAACTCATTGACAAAAGAATACAGAGTATTAGAGATCATATAAAAATATAATACATAGACATCTTTGTTCCGATGCGGGGGTTGTTCGCATCGGAACAAAAATACTTGAGAAAAGAAAAGGAAAGAAAAGAAAAGGAAATACTAAAATTGTACCGTTGCTAGCATACAATTGTTAATACTCTAGCTTTGGTACCATGCAAAATGATGCAATTCAACAGCAATTGTTTTTTTTTTATATTTATTTATTTATTTATTTATTTATATCAATGTCCGTATCAATGTTATCATGCAATCGATAAAAAATTAAAAATCTACAACTCCCAAAAACGAAAACACTGCACTCTCGCAAGCCTGTTTGCATGGTGCCACCCTTTCCCTTCAACGTCCACAGGGTGGTAGTGCAGATGGGTTCATCATGGTAGAGCCTGTCATCAAGAGCATGGAAGCGAAATTCGTAAACAGATGCATGGACCACAGACATAACGTGTGCGCGAGACAGGATGCTCAGGGTGATCGCAGAGCGGGATTCCATACAGTTTCGCAGCCTTGTACTCGTGCGATCCACACCCAGCCTGTCTGCGGACGGGTGATGACGGGCTGGGTGATGGGTGGTATCCAAAGCAAGGATGCTCACTCAGGTGTTGCAAAATCCGACCTGGAGCCGCTCGCTCTAGGAGTGATAACCTTTTCGTGGGCCGCACTGCAAGTCGTCCATGTGGCAGTCTGCTTTGCTTTGCAGTTCAAGATGCTGTATCTGTTCTTCAGCCAGCACGGACGGAAAGACGATTCAGCATCGCATGCGGGACATGCGCAGAGAGAGTGTGGCACTCCAGCACCGCATCTGGGACATGGGGAGAGAGGGCATGGCACGTGTAAAGGTCATGGATTAGGCCACATCAGTACAGACAGATGCGGTCCTTTCAGCCAATCAGGAAGCAGCGAGTGACACAGGCCACGTCCCACAGGTGGGGGCGCCTAAATGTTTCGGTCCCAGGCCGTATCTGAATCGGGCCTGGGCACAGACATTTGGCCCAACGTGAAGCTACTGGGCACATGGTCGACAGGCCCAGGCAGCCTCTACCATAGGCCAGCACTTTCCATATAGAAAAGTGCCCACCACCAGGGGAGGCATTCGGGCACTTCGTGCAATGCGGCAGCGCTGCCATTTAAGAGTGCTGGTGAGCCGCACGACAAACGCCTGGGTGCACACGGGCACAGGTGCTGGAGGGCGCTTGTGGAACAGCGCTGCACATCGGCCATAGACGGGCTGTATGTGCACGCATGCCAGCGGGGCATGGTGGTGGTCTTCGGGTGCTGGAGGGCGCTTGTGGAACAGCGCTGCACATCGGCCATAGCCGGGCTGTATGTGCACGTATGCCAGCAGGGCATGGTGGTGGTCTTCGGGTGGAAGACATCATGTGGGGTTGAGGCGAGAGAGAGAGAGAGAGAGAGAGAGAGAGAGAGAGAGAGAGAGAGAGAGAGAGAGAGAGAGAGAGAGAGAGAGAGAGGACATACCTGGTTCGTTGTGGAGGTCTGCATGAGTGACATCTGCACGTACTTCGTGTTCCACTGCTGAAGTCTACTGGTTGTCGCATTGTAGTGTAGGCTTGTATAGGAGCTCTGTGATGATAGTCTGGGCGCCAAGCGCCAAATTTGGTCTCTTTTGGTGTGACATTGGTGCATTTCCGCTTTCTGGACAGCTCACGGCTATCTGGCTTTCAACATGATATTGTGATTTGGATTTCTTTCCTTTGCTTCTGCTCATTTTCCTTGCACTGGTGTGTGTTGTCTTGTTCGCTATACACAACTCCACAAAGAAAAGCAAGACTGTGCCAGTGTTCTGCAATTGCTCAATGCAGCTGCTTGTTGGACTGGATGAACTCATCATATGTGTGTGCACGTGTTGAAAGGCGTGGGGGGGGAGGGGGGGGAGGGGGGGGAGAGGGGAGAAACGAAGGATTAGAGGTGGGGAACGGGGACGAGTCAGGTACGGTCAAGCAAGCGAAGACGGGGAGGTTGGGAGGTTGGGGGAGAGGCACAGGGACTTTGTCAGGAAGAGGACTACCAACCTGATGCGGCCATTTCTTGTCATGTAGATGTGATAGTTCTTGGTAAGTTCATCCACCTGCGCTGGGGTAAGCCCACTGAAGCAGAACATTCCGATCTGCGGCAAGACAACAGAGGAAAGTGCTAAGCATTCTATTTCAGGAGGGGGACAAAAGCAAAATGTAGTCCACCTCCCGAAGGCATTCTATTTCGGGAGGGGGACAGAAGCAAAATTTAGTCCAACACACGATGGGCGCTAATGCAGCTAAGCATTCTATTTCGGGAGCAATCATTTATTCGGAAATTAATCTTTATCACACACCCTATATGATAAGTGCAACGGGCAATAGCAGCAACATGCCGATCCGCTATCGCCATTTGCAGTGAGCCCATATGTAGTATGTACAGTCATACACTGTAATATGTGCAAGTCATGCAAAACCTCCTCCTCCTCCTCCTCCTTGGGTCAACGGATTTCCCCATGCTTTTTTTTTTTTTTAAGACTTTCTCAACTTATCTGTATCATCCTTGCGCAGGGCCCCATGGTGATTTTTTTTTTTTKTTTTTTTTTTTGTTTTTGTTTGTTTGTTTGTTTGTTTGTTTGTGATGCTCACAGGACCCACCCCAAGTTACCTTTTTGTTCTTCTTTCTTAGCCTAACCCCTGCTTCCCCATTTAGACCCATGGTAATCTTCTCTCTGTGTTGTTCCCATTTTAACGGATGCCCTCGAGGATGATTTCCACATGCTCTGCTCTCTTGTCTCAACCGTTTCCATTCGGCTTCACATCATCTCATCATCTCTCTCATAACACAAGTGGTTAACATGGACCTCCACTTTCACGTCCTTGGCTAACGGGTAGAAAACTGAAATTAGGGTTTGGGGGTAGGCATTCCATCTTGCATTTGACAGGGGCATGAATGTTCTCCTTCAATGTGACAGGAATGCAATCCCCTCTTGAATCTTTTCTCAAGTCTGCAAGCATACACAATTAACTCGCATCTACAGTGCACAAGGAAAATATAAAACAGCTCAGAAAAGCCGTCCGGCCGAGCTCTACACCCATCAACTGTTGAAGTACAGACCCAACTTCCAGTCCAGATACACTCAGATGAACTTGCCATATATATATATATATAAATATATGTATAGTCAAACAGAGCTGCCCGGTAAACCGTAGGAAGGGACGGAGGGAGAAGAGGAGAACAAACGAGGGGCTGTGACAAACTGTTTCGTCGGAGTTTCACCAACAGACTCATCAGGAGGACATTTGCATTGTGCTTGGCCGTATGCATACCTGTTTTGTGATGTGCTCCCAATTTATCTGTGATCCTATTCCTTCCAGATGCTCGCGCAGCAACGACCTCATTAACTTAATCCGATCGGCCATCATCTGCATGAATCAGACACCATGAGAAATTAGAAAAAACAGAAATTAAACGAAGCGAATTGGACGACTGACAGCAATGTCAGCATGGCTTCATGCAGAAGCAGCCCCAGTCCCAGCATCAGATCATCATAATCTTTTTCTATTTTGTCTTAAAAACAAAAACAAGGGCAACCGCCTTGAGAATTTGAGATAACATCAGCAAACTGACCAGCCTCAGGTAATTCAGAATGATTTTATTCTGGCTATCTGGTTCCAACTGGATTCGAATTTCGAACTCAACTCTGTATTTCAACAATTCATGGCTGTACCAACTCAGCCAGGCCCATAATCTCTTCAATAGAAAATTTCGCCATAATCTCTCTCTCTCTCTCTCTCTCTCTCTCTGTATGCTCATGATATAGCACCTCGTATGGCCGTGGCATGCAAATTTTGTTGACAACTTCAAACTAAGATTTCCAGGACTAACCAACAAAAATAAATTAAAATAAAATATAATAATAATAACAATAATAACAATAATAATAATAATAATAATAATAATAATTAAAAAAAATAAAATAAATAATAATAATAATATAATAATAATAATAAATATAAATAAATATAAAATTCAGGAGTTACCAACGGGCATAGCTCAGTTTGTAGTGAGTTACTAAGTAACTTTGTACAACCAATGAACTCTGTTGAAATACTGACCCAAGTGAAATACTGACCTGGGTTCGAATACATAGGCAATGAGATGAAGAGAAGGAAATCATTCCCAATTACCTTAAGCCTTAAGCTGGCCATTTCAAGGACGAAATCTCAAGGCCGTAGCGCCTTCTTTCTTTTGTTTGTTTGTTTGTTTGTTTGTTTGTTTTTTAAGATTTCGCGGAGTCAAAAGGGAGAAATCCGAATACAACTTGTAAAAGGAAAAAAGATGAAAAACTGGGCCCCGACACAAGCAAGCTGACGTCTGAAGCTGTGCACCTGGCTCACACGCAAAGCTCCTCTACGACTGTACTGGAGCACATATGCTTTCTAAATGAATGAATGAAAAGAGCATCCCCTGTGTTATAAGCTGTGTATGCCAACGTTCGTTCGGGGGATGAGGGTAGTCTGAGAGCACTAAGAAATGCGCCCTCACCCATTGGGTTATATATAGCTGCAGTGCTAACCTTTCCCAGACTCTTATAGTGAGGAAGGAAGGGGCTTGGACCAAATTGAAAAACGGGACAATATATCATCGGGCCTGCCGTCCTCCCCATAGTACCATGACGCACCCTCATCATGAATGATTGCAAGCTATCTTCTTTCGGACTCGATAGCAGTTATGACGAGCGGCAGTTACGTTCGGGTGAAAATGGTAGGGTGTTGACTTACGGTGGTTAGTATTTACCTTGACTTCCTTCAACCATAGCTCTTTCAGCCCTGGGTCGCTAAGGATTGTTGCGACCAAATGCGCCCCATGCAGTGGAGGGTTGCTGTACATAGGCCTTGCAATCTGTTGCACCTGGCTTTGAACATTGGCCGCCTCCATTTCACTGTGACATACAATGCTGTGCTCCCGTCACCCAAGGTCCCAACACCCCACCACTGTAATTAGTGATCTTTAACTTTGAGCTTTGAAGTTTGCAGCCTGAATCAAAGCGATTGCAAAAAAAAAAAAAAAAAAAAAAAAAATCAACCTCTCATATATTGTCCAGAGCACAAAAGATACTGCTCAGACACACACACACACAAACCTGTCTCTTATACACATCTAGATGTGTATAAGAGACAGCACATACACACACATACGCACACGCACACACATACACACAAACATAGAGATAGACAAACACAGACACACACACACACAAATAACTGACAAGTTGTGACAACTTGATTGATTGGGGGGGAAAAAAAATAAAAAATGGCACGAGCGAGCGTTGGGCAAACTGACAGTCGATCCTTCTCAAACTGACATAATCAACGCTGACAAAGTTCAACTGGGTTGCAATGACGGGAAGCGTTGAGCGGGTGCAGTGATCGCTATTCGTTGGAGACTAGAGGGGTTTCTTAACTTTCCTTTTCGTTGCGGGTTTAGGCCATTTAGGGTTTTGATGTGCGAGTTGGGCATACTCAGCCATACTCAGCCATACTGGCAGTTAATTGTTCTCAGAAGGAAGTAATCAATCAATGCTGTCAAGTGTGGAGCGGGTGCGGTGATCATTATGTGCAGGGATGCTGGAGGACCCGATTTCCAGTAGGGGCAGCTCCCCAGCAATAGAATGAAGCATTTCTTCTGTGGGGGGAAAAGAAAAAGTGAAAAAAAGATCCGGCTTCGGCTTTAAAAGGAACTTTGTTTGTCAGAGGGAGGGAGGGGAGGGGAAGGGCTTGTTTGTCAAAAAGAGAGTTGAATTGTTTTCCGAGGAAAAAAAAAAAAAAGAAGAAGGTTCTTTTTTCAAGTTGTTTGTCAAAAAGAGAGTTGAATTGCAGACTTTTCTATTAACCCTCCCTCTGATCATCCATCACCTTTTTTTTTTTTTTTTGTGTGTGTGTAAAATCACCACCTTTTGATTGAAACCCCAAGTTGATTTATCATCATTTTTTTTTTTTTTTTTTAGATGTCATGAAGTCCCTCCCTTTCCCAGGTCAACATTTCACCCTAGCGCAAACCCCGAATTGACTTCTGCTTGCTTTGAAGTTTGAAATTTTTATACGGACATAATTTAAGCTCAGAAATGCTTACAGATCCGAAATGAAAGGATTCACGTGGCAGACACCCAGTCCCGGTCCCAGGGTCCTTACAAGTCCCCAGTCCCAGGGTCCTTACAAGTCCCCAGTCCCAGGGTCCTTACAAGTCCCCAGTCCCAGGGTGGTCCAGTAGGGTAGGCCGTAGGGTGTAGGGGTCCGAAACGTCGTAGGTTGGTAGGTGTTGGTGTTGGTACCGAAGCGTCATAGGTCGGTAGGAGTGCGTCCGGTACCCGACAAGAAAAGTCCAAAAGAGTCCAGTCCGGTCCGACAGTCCCCAGTCCAATTTTGCAGCATGTCCCAGGAAAGTCCGGAAGCTATCGGACCGACAAAATGTTTGCAGCAGGCAGGCCGCGGCCAATTTTGCAGCATGTCCCAGGAAAGTCCGGAAGCTATCGGACCGACAAAATGTTTGCAGCAGGCAGGCCGCGGCCGACCGGTACCCGCCTGAAGCAGGCCAAGCCAAGCCAAGCCAACCCAACCCAACCCAGGTCCTACATTTAGCTGCTACAGTCCACCGGCTCATCACTTGTTCAGTTGCGAGATGCGGAAGCGCTGCTGCTGCTTGTGCGTTAAGGCAACTTGGGCACTGTGCGCCCGAAGAAGAAGAGGGCGCTCACGAGCGACTCCATAGGTAGGTTAGAACAGTAGGACGGCGGCCATAGCTGCCAAGGTGTAAGCTTACCTGAGTGGATGTATCCAGCATGACAATCTAGGTGAGAGAGAGACAGAGAGACAGAGAGAGAGAGAGAGAGAGAGAGAGAGAGAGAGAGAGAGAGAGAGAGAGAGAGAGAGAGAGAGAGAGAGAGAGAG